TATGCATCTATTTGACAGGTGCCATGGTTTGGATACGTGTTTCTGAAAGGCCCACATGTTCAAGATGATCTCTACACGTTAATAGGAGATTGTGGGGTCTTATGGGTGATGATGCGGTCATTGGAGGTATTTTATGAGACTCGGTTCTCTTCCTGTTTCTGAGCTGGTGGGTGTTGCAACCTTGCTTTGCCCTGTGCTCTGTCCATGAAATGCAGGCTCCTCACAGCTTCAGAGCAGTGGACAGTAAGGCAAAAATAACCTTATTTTCCTTACAAGCCAGTTATCTCAGGAGTTTGTTACAGTGACAGAAAGCTGACTCACACGTCTCCATTATCTCCCAACACTTTTCTACTCTGTCTTAGTGCTCCGGCTTGTATGTTCCCTGTTTGTCTTCAGAATCCTCCATTTGTCACAGAACTCCCGGCTCTTTTTAGTAGATAATAGTTGACAAGAACTGGGTGCAGAGAACGGTCATTGCTGTGGGATCCCATTGTTTTATGTCTACTTGGTGGAGAGAAACAGAGAATGTGCCAGTGTGTGTAGCTAGCTATTGGTGTGTGTGTCTGTGTACATGTCCCTTATGTATGTGTATGTGTGTGTGTGTCTAAACAAATGAGCCCTTGGTATGTGTGTGTGTTCATGTATAACCAGATCTTGGTAAGTATTTATGTATATATGTTTGTACGCAGTCAGAATTTGGTGTATGTGTATAGGTTTATGTGTGCATGTGTATGCATGTGTGTGTACAGTCAGACCTGGTGTATATGTATGTAGACAGATTTATTTTATTTGTGTGTGTGTACACAGTTAGATATTGATATATATGTGTGAGTCTCTATACAGAATTGTCGTGTGTGTGTGTGTGTGTGTGTGTTTGTGTGCACCCAGCCATGCCTTGGTTTGTATGTAAGGGGAAGCTCACAGTCAAATCTTGGTGAATGTGTGTGAGTGTGTGTGTGCATGTTTGTGTATGTGTGTGTACGTATTTGTCCCTCAGCCTCTGCTGGTTCTGAATTTGTAGATTAGCACACTTGTACACATTTTTCTTTGTCCTTATTTCCTAAACAATACAGTATTGCAACTATTCACAATATTTAAATTGTATTATGAGTCATCTAGAGATAATTCAAAGTGTACAGAGATTTGGGTGTAGGTTTTATGGAAGTACTAAGCTTTTATACCCGAAAGACCTGAGCAGCTATAGCATCTGCAAGAGTCCTGAATTAGTTCCTCCACAAACAACAGTACTGTGATGCACACACACACACACACACACACACACACACACATTTATGTACTTCTATGTGTATATCTTGGAAAATCATTAGTTCACTATACTATACTCTAATACCACAGAGATTACTACTCCTTTATATTTGTAAGACCCATCTAACCTGAGAGAATCTATTCTCCATCACTTCTAATACTTTCACTTTTACTTATTCCGTCCATTGTTCACAAGGTAACCAATCCTCTGTTACCAGTGCCACCTCCGTTCCTTGTGGCCATTCTCCAGTGTGGGTTGAGGTTCTTCCTTCCCATTTTGGATCATTGCAACACCTTATTTCCCTTCCTCCCTCCCTCCCTCTCTCCCTTCCTCCCTCCCTCCCTCCCTCTTCCTTCCCTCCCTTCCTCCCTTCCTTCCTTCCTCCCTCTCTTCCTTCCTTCCTTCCTTCCTTCCTTCCTTCCTTCCTTCCTTCCTTCCTTCCTTCCCTCCCTTAGGCTGTTTATCTGACAATTCATCTCCCATAGAGATGCTTAACTCACCATACCACCTAAAGAATGCCCATGTTGAACACAACCTGTACTATAACTCCTTACTCCAACCTGCCCTCCCATCTGTGTGTGGTCTGATCACACTGACTGAGTTTACCCTCTCATGGGGGGCGGGGATCTTCTATCTTATATGCATACACACTCTCCTTACCCTCTGACACCCCCTGTGGACCAGCTCAACCTCCTACAGGATGTTCTCTTCTTGCTGCTTTGGCTGTGAGTTCAAACTGAAGTGGCTTCCTCAATTCCAGAGGATACTCACACCCCCAGTAGGCTCTCCCTCCGCTCTCTCTCTCTCTCTCTAACTTCCACTCAGACCGATGCCTTTCTCATCCACTCAAGCCATGTCCTCGCTCGTCTCAGTACCTAGACTCTGGCATTCCAGCACAGATCCTTGGGAGCGTGTGGATCACTACATGCTAGGCACCCGCATGAGCTGAGCCCTGACGGCTGGGTCCCACGTAAAGCTGAAGTGGAGCTCACGCAGTGCTGGGTGCAGCAGCCATGGTAGACAGAGCCAGGAACTCCAGAGCGGGAGGCGAGATCTGAGAAGGCAGGTGTTGCTCCGCTGGGTGATACGATTTGCAACGTGTTTTTAAAATAGTCTTAGGACAAATGAGTAATAGGAGGAGAGACAGCTCTTGCCACAGTATTGGCTTTATTCAAATACCTTATGATCTTTGTTTCCTTGTGTGTTTGTGTGTACCAGGACTGGGACCTGAACTCATACCTTAGTTTTTTGTGTTTTTTTTTTGTTTTGTTCCCCCCCCCCCCAAGGCTATTAGCCACAGCTCCACTTGGTGTTCTTTTGGTGGTTATTTGGGAGTAAGCATCTCAGGAATTTTCCTTCTAGAAAGGAGATCCTCAGATCTCAGCCTCCTGAGTAGCTAGGATTATAGCTGTGATCTACTGGCTCCCAGGCTTTTACTTTTTTTTTATTTGTAGTCCATTTTTATTTTTTTCCATTGTGGGGCCTGAACTCTGGGCCTGGGCACTGTCCCTCAGGCTCTTCAGCTCTACCGCTGAACCACAGCAGCACTTCCAGCTTTTTCTGCTTATGTGGTGCTGAGGAATCGAACCCAGGGCCTCATGCATGCAAGGCAAGCGCTCTACCACTGAGCCACCTTCCCAGCCCAAGTCTTTTACTTTTGATATAAGCTAAATCGAGTGTGTGTGTGTGTTGACAATAGAGTTGCATTTTACAGATCATTCCTTTACACAATAGCAGGATGCAGAATACAAAGCTGTAGTGAATAGAGTTTTCCAGAAAATAATTAAGGAGCTATATTTATCCCTAAACCTTTCAGGTTCTGCAGTCACATTTACTGTTCCAAAAAAATTTGCTGATATCTATATATCTATAGATATATACATATATGGCAAAGATATTTAAAATTAATGCACATAAAAGTGCCAAATTGAGGCCAAAAGTCTTGATTTAGAGGTTTACCGGTATAAAATCTCCATGATAGAGGCGGGGGAAAAATGCTTTGTTGAAAAAAAAAATAAGTAAAGAGTCACTCCTGGGAAGTAGTTATCTAATTCTTAACTGTTCATTAAGTTCCGGAACAGCCTGAAAGTCCATTGGCCCCAAAAGTGAGCTTGATTTGTGGGTTTTGTTGGGTGACTGCGGCAGGATTGTGTAACCATTTTTTTCCTTCTCTCTCAGTATTAGACATCGGAGGCATAAAGAAACTTTGTCGAGGAATAGTCACTGAAGCAACCTGTGGCTACACAGACACACACACAGCCACAGACAGACAGACAGACAGACAGACACACACACACACACACACACACACACACACACACACACACACACACACACGGTGTGTGCCAGACCCTGGTTTGGCTATGGCCAGTGGTCTTTCTGTGTGAGCCAAAGGACAAGAGTCCTGAGAGTCTTAGCTTTAAATTAAGGACCATGGACAGCTCTAGACTGGCCCCAGGAAAACCACAAGTACACTAAGTTCCCCCACCCCTGATGGACAGACAATTCAGGGTCTGATTTGAATGTTAGTTTACTGATAATAAAATGAGCAGAATCTGGATTTTTCTTTTTACTTCTTTTTAAAATAAATCATGAATGCTTATTTTAGTTAGGTGAGCCAGGAAGGACTCTAAGAAGTGCTCAGAAGTAAAGGGTTGAGAGGGATCATTTTTAAGAAACCGATTTTTTTAAAAAAAAATAATAATCAGATTGTATTTTTATAAATCATCAGGCCGCCATGCAAAAGGGGCTGGGAGGTGGGTCCGGCTGGCAAGCCCGGGGGTGGGGGTGGGGGTGGGGTAGGGGTGGGGTAGGGGCGGGGATCCCCACGTCGGCGTTTGAAGGCTCAGTGGATGTGGGGAAGAGCGCGGATCCCACCCAGGTTAGGCCGGAGGAGCAGCGGGCGCCATGTGCTCTGGGCTCCTGGCGCTCCTGCTGCCCATCTGGCTTTCCTGGACCCTGGGTCCCCGAGGCTCTGAGCCTAGCAGGTGAGGAGGGGGTAGAAGGGGGTGCTCTTTTTCTTTTTTGGGGGTGGTGGTGGTGGTGATTGCAGCCTCCTCTGGGAGGCTGATCGGTGGACCGGGCCCCCCGGGCTCTGCAGCTGAGCGGCGTGTTGGCGGCGATGGGGTGGAGAGCCCTGGGGTTGCGGGGAAGGATGTGGGGAATGGGGTGTGTGTGTGGGAGGGTAGGGGGGAGCGTTTCCCTCGCCGTCCGCTGCCAGCCATGGGGGGGGGCACCCCGTTCCCTCCCTCGCCGCCATCTCCCCCCATAGGAAGGATCGTGAAGCCTGGGGTGGGGGTGGGTGGCCGGATCGGAGCCCCGGGGCTGGGGGGGGGGGGCAGTGGGCTTTGCCAGGGCGCGGCGCAGCCTCGGCTCCCGGGCGCCCGCAGTGTCCCACCCCGGCGCGGGCCGCTGCGGCAGCCCTGGAGTCCCGGCGCGCGCGCGGCTTCTCCCGATCTCCAACCCAGGGCGCCTAGGGCCGGGGCTGCCCGGGGCCGCGGCGGCGGCGGCGGCGGCGGCGGCGGCGGCGATCGTAGGGGGAGGGCGCGGGGAGGGGGAGTGGGGAGGGGAGGGTGGCGAGGGGGGAGGGGGGGAGGAGGGAGCGCGTCGGGCTCCGCCTCCAGCTCGGCCTCCGCCTCCCCTCCCTCTGGCTCCCGCGCCCGCCGCTCCTCCCCGGCCCGGCCCTCCCCTCCCGCTCCTCCCCTCCCCCTCCCCCTCCCCTCCGCCCTCCTCCGCTCGGGGCCAGCGCGGCGGCGGCGGCGGCGGCAGCAGCAGGAGCAGCCCCGGCTGGGCTGCGGGTCGCGACGGCGGCGGGGCGCCCCCTCCCCCGTGCCGGGGCGCGGCGGAGGGATGTGGGGCTTTGCGGGAGGAAGGCTTTTTGGCATCTTCTCGGCCCCGGTGCTGGTGGCGGTGGTTTGCTGCGCCCAGAGGTAGGGGAGGAAGCGCGGGTGGGGGGTGGGGGATCTGGGGGCTGTGGGTTGGGGGAGGGAGGCCCGGGAGGGGGGCGGTGGGGGGGTGTGGTGGGGGGGAGCCGGGGTTGGCGAGCGGGGCGCACGGCGCGCACGCGGCGGGGCGCAGGCGGTGGAGCCGCTGCCTGACCCGCTTCTCCGCGCTCTCCACCCCCCGCCTCTCCCCCTCCCTCCTCTCCCCTCCCCCCCCGCTCTCTCTCTCCCCTTCCTCCCTGTCCCCCCCACCCCACCCCAGCGTGAACGACCCCGGGAACATGTCCTTTGTGAAGGAGACCGTGGACAAGCTGTTGAAAGGCTACGACATCCGCTTACGACCCGACTTCGGGGGTAAGTGGGGTGCGCGGGGTGCGCGCGCGTGGCCGCTGCGGGGCTGGGGGGGGACGCCGCCTCCTCCCCTCCTCCTCCTCCTCCTCCCCTCCTCCTCCTCCTCCTCCTCCTCCTCCTCCTCCTCCTCCTCCTCCTCCTCCTCCTCCTCCCCCGGGGGCCTGGGCGGCGGGGAGCGGCGGGGGCCCGCGGCCGCTCGCGGGAGTGTGGGAGACGCGTGTGTGTGCGTGTGTGTGTGTGTGTGCAGGGGGGGATCCTCCCTTGCAGCCCTCCTCTTCCACCCTCTTAGACCCCCCCGACCCCATCCCCAGAGCCTTCACCCCCCCCCACCGCACCCCATGCCCGAGCCTGGCTGATGGCCGTCCGGTGCGTGTGTGTCCCCCTCCCCGCAGGTCCCCCCGTGTGCGTGGGGATGAACATCGACATCGCCAGCATCGACATGGTTTCCGAAGTCAACATGGTGAGTGCCCGGCGCTTCCCGGCGCGGGCCCCTGCGGTCTGGGCCCAGCGGCGGCGGCGGTGGAGGAGGAGGAGGGGGAGGAGGAGGACGGGAGGGGGGTGCTGGGTATTCTGGGGGGCCCCCTCGCAGGGGCTCCCTCCCCCCTCCCCGGGGCGCTGCGCGCACGGCGGGGGGGAGGGGGCGTCGTCGGCGTCGGAAGCGCGCGCGTGTTGTGCAGGGGGGGGGGCGCACAGAGGATGGGGGGTCCCTGGAACTCCAGTTCCCCCCCTTCCCGTCTTCCTCCCCTTCCTTCCTCTCCCCTCACCCCCCTCCCCACTACACCCAGCTTTGGGGGATAGAGGCTTGTCCCCTGGTCGCCAAGGCTTTCCAAAGTGCTGGTCTCCTCTCCTTAGCAACAGGCGCCGGGGAAGCTGCATTTAAAGACTCAAAAAAAAATTGTCATTGGAGGGAGAGGTGTTGGCAAGCTGGAGCGCAGAGCCAGGGGCCTGAGATCTGTGTCCAGTAGAGCTGTCTCCAGTGCCTGGTTCTCTGAGAGCAGGGGCAGAGACTCCAGGATGGTGAGGTACCCAGTCAACCCCAGGCCACTGCTGGTCGCTGTCCGAGGTGCTGATGGAGGTTCGTGGGCTTGATGAGCGAAAGATCCGGCCTGGCACTTTGTCTCTAGCCGGGCTCTGGTTTCCAGTGTCACTTAGACTTGATGTGAATGGTGATGGGGTTCAAGGTTCTGGCCTGGGGAGAGCCAGGGGGTCAGTATCCCCAACTGGCCAGAACATGCCCAGCCCCACCCCCTTTTTAAGACCTTACACACTTCAGGGTGCTGGAAAAATAAGCTGTAGGACTACTTTTTATTTGTTTATTGAGATAGGAAAAAGAAAAAAAAAAAAGGAGGTTGATTTTTTTTTCTTGCAAGAATGACACTGTAGATTTCCTAAGGATTGTAAACCATATATATATATACATATATATATATATATATATATATATATATTAAAGAAATGATTTGGCAACTTTTGTTTCAAGCAGACAACGTTGGGGCTTAGATGGGGGGGAGGGCGCTATGGTTTCAGATAGATCCAGAAGTTCTGGGAATCAGAGACTGGTCAACTCTGGCTTTCCCATCAGAGTCATGTGGGCAAACTTGTTTCAAATGTGTGCCATCTGATGCTTCACTCTGAGGGTTCGGATCCAGCCAGGCCGGTGGGTATACAGTCGTTGAGGTTTTTGTGGTCCAGTGAAAGATTTTGAGTCAGGTGTTTTGTGGGCAGTGTTTGGAGGAAGATTATGACAGTGCTTTGTAGAAAGATTGATGTGTGAAGACAGGGAGAATGATTGTTTTAGGTGCACGTTTTGCAGTACATACCCGTGGAGGCTTTTGTAGGGAGGAATCTTTGACTTTTCATCCATTTTCCACTTTCCTTTAAATGATCACCTATTTATTCTTGGCTGTTACTCTTTGAATTCATGGCCTCCCATTTGGCAGGCAGGCAAGCACTTTATCATTTGAGCCACACCCCCAGTCTTTTTTTGGGGGGAGGAGGGTAGTTATTTCTTGGCTGGGGTCGGGTAGTTTTGTCCTGGGTTGGACTAGGACTATGGTTCCTCTACACATGCCTCTCTAACTGAACTACAGGCATACCCCCATGCCTGGATTTATTGGCTGACTTTTTGCTCAAGAGGGGATCTTATTAACTTTTGGCACAGGGTGGCCTGAGACGGAGTCTTTCTGTGTCTGCTGGGATTACAGCTGTGAGTTATTCTGCCACTCCCACTTTTTTTTTTTTTTTACTTTTAACCTAAAAATTTTGAAGTTAAAATGTGAGAGATTGGAAGTTGCTCAGTGACAGAAGACTTGCTTAGCAGTCAAAAGTTTAATCCCCAGCACCCCACAAAGAGAAAAATAAAGACAATTACAGGACAATTTAAATATATATATATATATTTTTTTTTCAGGACATTTGTGTATCAAGGCAGGGTAATATTAAAAGTGCTAGCCAGTAACATAGGAAGGTTGTGATTTCACCTTTTACCTTAAAAATGAAGATTATATTTAACATATTGGTAATTTTATGAATGGAATTCTATCCAATTATGGTCTTGTGATCTGAAGGGAGCAGGTTCACAGATTCAAGGTCCACTGTCTGTAAGTAGTGATTTTTTTCTCAGCTGAGAGCTTCAAATTCTCCAGAGAAGACAAATTAATACAGAAGTTAATTGGCTATTTACTGGATTATTATGTCGAAAATCAGTCTAGGTTATATCGGATGAAAGCAGCAATGTATTGCACAGCCTTAAAAAAACCTATCATCTAATAGTTCAGGCCCCCAGTACAATGAGGGAATAAGTTATTTCAGGTCATTGAACACTTTGAATTACCTTTAATTGAAGCATCCAGTTGATTTGGTGTCCTACTGATATTTGATAAACTGAAAAAAATCCACTATTTGCTTTAGTTCGGAGCCTGTGGGTTGTGGTATGGTGTTCTGGTTTTCTCTTCACTCAATAGAAAGGCAAGCCGAAGGCATAGGCTATGCAGTTGCACAGGGTGTTAAGTATAAACCCCTTCACGATCATCATGTGTAAGCTAACCATGGTAGCATTCTTGCGTTGTTTGTTTCACATTGGCACGGCAATGTTTTTCACTGGCTCTTTGGAAGCATGGGTTTACTGTACACAAATGCAGGGGATGAGTAGCATTAGAAACTGAAGGCTCATGGACAGAGATGACTGACCGATGGTTTAAGCCTCCTTTCTTCCCGAAGCAGATGATCTAGAGAAATCTGATTTCCCATCACACATTTGTGCATGCTAATGGCGGTGGCTTGTGACTTGTTATGGCAAGTACCAAAAAATGCGGCGATAGTTGTACAATTGTTGGGGGGCGGGTTGAGATGGAGTGAGGGAGACAGTCACATTTAAAGGGAAAGAATACAGATGTTCATGAACTGAAGCTGAGAGTCACTCAGGTGTGCTGTGAGGAAACAATGTAGTAGTCTCTTTATCACCTTCGTAACCGTACAACACCAAGTATGCTACATCATGAATAAAGAAATCATCACTAGTAATGATATGTCAGGTATTATTACCATGTTATGTATGGTGTTATAACCCCTTAAGGATGTTGTAGCCATTAGAAGAGAGAGATCAAGAAGTAGGGCATGGTAAGTCTCAGGAGAGGAAGAGATGAATGGTTCTCACATGGTGAGAGGTAGAAGGAGAAAAGGGAAGGCGTGTGTTGGTGGGTGTAGGGGGAGATCTTATTTTGGTGCAGAAAGCCTCCTGAAATAAAATAGAATTAACTTGGGCGAGGGGAAGGCCTAAGGTCTTGAATGTGTGAATAAAGATGTTCTGGGTTGGGGGGAAAATATGGCAAAGATGTGGATGGAAGACCGAATTGGATTATATACTGGGAAGGGAAATCTGAGAGATGAACTCAAAAAAGTAGGCCAGGACTGTGTATGCCTTGGAGTATTTCTGAAGCTGGTTTATGGAAAATAAGGAGCTTGCCATTGATACGATTTTATTTACCCGGATGGTTGATAGGGTTTGAGATATGAGTTAAGATGAAGATTTTAGCCAAAACGTTGAATGTAGACGGAGGAAGGTGAGAGACTGGTATCTCACTCTTGTCTTCCTAACAACTTAGGAAGCTGAGATCTGAGGATATCAGTTTAAAGCCAGCCTGGGCAGGAAGATCTTGTGAGACTCTTACCTCTAATTAACCAGTAAAAAAAAAAATGGAGGAAGCAGAGGCATGGTGCAAGTTAGAGCAGCAGCCTTGAGTGACAGCAGCTCAAGGACAGAGCCAGAGCCCAGACCCCCAGTTCAAGCCCCGATTCTGGCACTAAAAACATGAGGGAAAAAAAGTAAATTTAGACAGAGGAGAAAGTTTGGTTAGGAGTAAAGAAAATGGTTGGGGATGAAGGGTCACGCAAGGTCAGGCATGCGTTATTTTACTGTACATGTTCTGAACACATATTTTGTGTGTGTGCAAATATGCATATTTGTACATACACACAGATACACACATATAAATATATCATTTGTAGTGCTGAAACTCACACTCAGGGTCTGTGCCTGTTGGATCAATGCTGTACCATGAGGCAGACTGATGGCCCCATAAACAAATTTTTGAGATTGTTTCGTTAATGAAATTTTTTTAACAAAAATCACGTGTGTTTGCAGTAAGGGGAAGGTGTGTGTGGTGTATGCTTGTGTGTGACCGTTTGGAAATGAGGGTAAAGAATTCAGCTGATACTATGCAAATGGATATACCTTTGCAGGTTTGCTAACATGATTTGAAAGTATAATCTTTATCGGATGGGCATACAGGTAGAAGATGCAGCTAAAGAATGCTTGAGCCTCCAATAAACAAATAAATAGATAAGTTGCATATGTGTATGTGCATCTTATTCCTCATTTTGGTATTAAAGGAACAATCTATGAATGGATTTGCATATTTTAAAACAAAGCATTAATCTTGCCATGGTTTGTTTCATGGTTATTGAAAATATTATTTTACTTTTGTTTTTGTGCTCGTACTGGGGCTTGAACTCAGGGCTTGGACAGTGTCTCTTAGCTTTTCTGTCAAGGCTGGTGCTCTTACGACTTGAGCCACACCTCCACTTCCAACTTTTTGTTGTTTAATTGGAGATGAGTCTTCTGTCTGTCTGTCTGTCTGTTACTTCTATATCCCCCTCCCCCCGCCAATCTTCTAATTATCTTTTTCTTGCTCTTAATTTTACTTAACTAACCAAACTCTGATCAAAAGTCATTTTATTGTACATAACTTGCCTTATTTCTGTTAGCCCCTGTCTTAAAACTTCAGTCATTGAAAGTTACATGTGGTGTGTTTATTGAGATATACTCCATAGATTTTGTTTTAACTATGATTGGTCTACTTAAGATTGCTCCGTGTTTTTGTCATAATTGTGATGCTTAATAGATGCCTTCATATTTAATAACCATTGTTGAATAGACAGATAGAGAAGTGACTAAATGGT